CTAGGTGAAAATGACCACCAACTTCACGCTTCAGGGCTCACCAGCCCAGCTCCATCTCTCATTCGGAAACCCTCCAGCCTCTGCCTTCAAGACTGAGCAGGGAGAGGTCATGGGTCTAACCCTGGTCTGCTCTCCCCAGCAGGGCAGTCCGGGTCCTCTGGGCAGCGGACACTGAGACAAAGTGAGGAGTGGGAGAGGGTTATCGGGGTGAGGGGGCCCGTGAAAGATGAAAGGCGCAGGGAGCAGGACTGGACAGGAGGGCGTCAGCCCCACATGCAGACTGACAGCTTCAGCCAGGTCTGCGGGAGCCCCAGAGCACAGACTGCCCCTGGAGGAGTCCATGGGAGAGCCAGGCCCTAGTCACTGCCCCCCAACTCAAGCCCTGGCTGGGGCTACCCCGAAAGTGGAGGTGGATCCTGAAGGTGCTGCACTGAGGCTGGGGGGATGGGGAGCTCCTGTGCTCCCACAGCTGAAGGCAGGTTCTCTCTTGAAAGGAGACGGGAGAGGCACCTCCATGGCTGTCACTCCAGCCGTGGGACCCCCGGCATGTGACGAACAGGTCTGAGCTCGGTCTCCTAGTCACAGATGAGGAGCAGGCCTCCCTCCTGCATTGTTGGAAGTGGCACTTACCAGGCCTGGAGCACAGTGCCTGCCACATGGAGGTGGTGGGTAGTGGTCCCTAAGTCATTGCCGTGGTTCTTATCATTGTTGGAGTGCTTTCTCCCCTGATTGTTGAGATTTAAGTCCTGGAGAAAAGCTTTCACTCCTGCTTTGTCTCCCCCTGGGCTGTTGGCTGGGTTGTGCGGTGCTCTCACCAACAACTCCTACTGTGAGGAGGCTGGAGAAGGCGGTTTCCATGGCCTGCTCTCTGTCTCCATCCTCAGGAGCCAGCCTTGTGTGATGGAAAATCATTCTGGATCTGTGGTGTTATGAGACCCCCAAAATTCATATGTCGAAGTCCTAACCTTCATCATCTCAGAATGTGACTGTGTTTGGAGATAGGGTCTTTAAAAAGGTAACTAAATTAAAATGAGATCATTAGAGTGGGACCTAACCCAGTATGAGGGGTGTTTTATAGGAAGAGGAAATTTGGACACAGACGTGTACGGAGGGAAGACGCAGTGACCACACAGAGAGAAGACAGACGTCACAGGCCAAGGAGAGCAGCCTGAAACAGACCTTTCCCTCACACGGCTCTCGGAAGGAGCCAACGCTGCCGACGCCTGGATCTCAGACTTCCAGCCTCCAGAACGGGGAGACGACACATTGTTGTCTAAGCCCCCGTCTGCGGAGCCTTGTTATGCCAGCCCCAGCAGACGGATGCGTGTAAAAACGGCATGGGTCAGAGTGCTTTCAGCTACAGGTCACCAGACACCTACCTGGCTGAGAGCGGCTTGACCCATGGAGACATTTCACTGTCTCACACGGCACGAAGCGTGCAGGTGGATGATTCCACAATGTTACCAAGGATTCTGCACCTTTCTAGCCCTGCGTTCTGCCTCCTGAGACCGCTTTTGGTCTTTGGGCTATGTTAGATGGGCAGTCTGGGAGGGTCTCTCTCAGGAGGTGACATTTGATTGAGACTTGCGGGTTGAGAAGATGCCAGCCCTGGGCAGAGCCAGAGAATGACCTGCTTTCATTGCCAGGGTGCCAGTAACTGTGTCCCCTTTGGGACTGGGGCTGAGACCTGTTGGCCACTGACTTTGACTCCCAGCCCGAGGCCACCTGGTCCAGTGCCTGCCTTCAGGCAGTGCCAGGCGTCCATCCAGCATAGATGGCTCATTATGTTTGACTGTTTTTCATTCCTGGCAACATCAGTTGAAGGATATGCAAATAAGAAAATCAACTGAATTTGTTTCACAAAGAACGACATTTAATCAGCACAATAAATACTTACACATAGTCCTTGGCTGTATAAGATGACAGTTAATGGAGAAAGAGAGGGGAGAAGGCAAAGTTTGAAGGGCAGAGAAATAGAAAAGAGGAGAAAGAGGGAGAGCCCCTGGTTGTAAGAGGGTGAATACAGAGCCAAAGAGTCCAGAGTCCTGAGGTTGTTCATTCATTCATTCATTCCTTCATTCCTTCATTTAACAAACATTTATTGAGAGCTAAGGAGGATGCAGATACAATAGTGGGTCCTGAAAACGTGGGAGTCGTCCAAACAGGTGCTGTCCTGCCTATGGGGGACTTCTGACGCCCTGGGGGAGGAGGACGGTCAGGAGGCACTCTCACGGATGAATAAGCAGTTACAGACTATGGTCAGCGCTGGGAAGAGGGCCAGAGGCGAGGAAGGGCTTCCCTGGGGAAGCGATAAGATGGGCAGGATGAGAAGGAGTTAATAAGGCTAAGCAGTTGGGGTTGAGGGTTGGTGTTTCCGACACAGGGAGCAGCCTCTGCAAAGACCCTAAGGCAGGAAGCATCAGTGAGACCTGAGCACAGAAGTGGAGCAGGAGGAAAGAAGGAGGGGTGGCTGGAGAGGCAGGGCCACGTCACACAGGGTCACTGGGCCATGGCGAGGAGCCATCTGTCTGGCAGTGTAGTATTAGGATTTATATTTTAAGATTGCTTTGGCTTCTGAGCAGAGAATGGACCTCAGGGGCAAGATGGAGGCAAGAAGCCTGGTCAATGGGCACTTGAGCCTGTCTGGGCAGGAGGCGACGGTGGCTGGACCAGGGCAGGAGTCCTCAGCCTCAGCTCTGCAGACATTCTGGGCTGGACGTGGGGCCCTCCATCATGAGGGCTGCCCTGTGCACTGCAGGATCTTTAGCAGCAGCCTGGCCTCTACCCGCTAACTGCCCGTAGCACTCCCCACCCAAGTTGTGACAGCCAAAAATGTCTCCAGACATTGCCAATGTCTTCTGGGGAGCAAAATCGTCCCCTGCTGAGAACCTTGGATTAGGAGGATAAGGGAGAAATGGAGAAAAGTGGAGGGCTCGAGAGAAAGTTAAGGGGGAAATGAAGAGGAGTGGCCACCGAGCGGGCAGGGTATGGGAGAGGGGGTCCTGAGGATGAGTCCCAGACAACTGGATGGACGCAGTTGCCACTCACTGATGTGAAGAACAAGGAGAGAGAATCCAGTTTTGGGGGGCATGGGGAATGGCAGCATATCTGGCTTCTAGTCTGAACTAGCAATGAGACATCATACATGTTATTTTCTCTTACTTGGTCTGTTTTTCCACCCTCAAAGTACAATGTTTGTGCTCGATCTAGAATAGCAAATATGCAAAGGTATGACTTGTCGTTCCCACACCCGAGGGAGACATAACTAATCAATTGTGGTTCTCCGAGCCTGGAGACCTCTTCCCACAGTGCCCTGGACAGCTTCCAGTGGAGGCATGTGAGCAAAAAGCTGTTTGCCATCCCTGAACTTGAAACTCATTCCAATCCCTTCCAATGTGCCCAGTGTTGACACTTGCTTGATAAATATGCTTGATAAATTCTGAACAATGATATCTGGAGCAGGAGTGGAGACTCCCCAACCTTCAGGCCAAATCCCATCTTTACTAGGTCATCCAGCTGGAGAATAGAGCAGCAAAACAGGAGTTCCCCATTTATGCCATTTGTTGTGAAATTGCAGTGGGGATTTGGAAGTCTCTGGCGGCAGGCCCCTGGAAGGCCCTCAGAAGGGACCCTGTCTCCCAGAGCCTCGGCCGCGGTCCTCCCTCTCTTGCTCGCTGTGCCTCAGCCTCCGTGGGGCCTGCATCCCCTTCCCCCATCATTCATGCACTCTCTGTTACTCTCCCCCGTCAGATCATAGCACAGAATGGAAGTAGATATTTTATTGTTTTTTCACTTTTATTCAAAAGCATTTATGCTTCCTGTTAGTGCTTTAAAAAGCAGATGCATGAAATGTGAATTTTAAAATATTTGTCTTCCTTCCAATTCTAATGATGTAGCAAACCTACCATTAGAATAATCCTATACTCCTGTTGTGGGTGCAGTGGTGCCCCTCAAAGATCTAGTTAAGTCCTAACCCCCAGTCCTAACCTGTGAAAGTGACTTTATTTGGAAATAAGGTCTTTGAATAAGTCAAATTAAGATGAGGTTCTGCTGGATTAGGGTGGGTCCTAATCCAATGACTGGCGTCCTCATAAGGACAGAGAAATCTGGACACAGGCCGGTGGAGGACACCACGTGATGATGAAGGCAGAGATGGGAGTGATGTGGCCACAAGACCAGGATCTCCAGGGACTGTCAGCCACCACCAGAAGCCAGGAGAGGGGCACGGAGCAGACTCCCCGTCACAGCGCCCAGAAGGAACCAACCTCTGACACCTTGGTTTCAGACTTCTGGCTTCCAGAGCCATCAGGGAGGACATTTCTGCTGTCCGAAGCCCCCAGTCTGTGGTCATTTGTTACGGTCGCCTTGGGGAACTAACACAGCCCCCACCCCCAGCTCCCCAGAAACGAGGTGGCCATTTATCTGAGTTGTGTGTGGATCTTTTCTCTCCACTTCAGTGACTCTCAGTGGAGAAACAGGTCTCTCCACCACTCTCTTCCTCGCCCTCGGGTCTGGTCTGCGTCTGAGACCCCCAAGCTCCTGGATGTGGAGCCTGGGGAGCCGTCTGTTGTTCGTGGGCCAGGCCCCATGGTAGCCAGTCTCCAGTATGGCCGCAACCATCTTGGCCTCCAGGACCTCGCGCCCTGGTGCAGGATCCAGCCCTGTGGGTGCCCAACACCCCTCTCTCGCCTTCCCCTGATCCCTACCCTGTTGGGTCCTGTCTTTATTTAAAATGTGGCTATTTTGTTCATGGTGGATGTTTTCTACTAATTTTGATTTTTCAAAAAATTCCTGCAATACTGAGTTTTTTGGTGCCCCCTTACATTTTGCACACAAGGCGAGCACCACACTTGCTCACCCAGTCCTGGCCCTGTCCCCTCTCACATTGCCACAAGGCTGCCCTATGTGACAGACAGAATAACCCAGAAGTCTGTGCCTTAGGAGGCTAGGTCACAAAGGGCATTTCAGCTGTCACGCTGGCCTCTGGGATCCCTCGCTCTGGCTGCGCTCAGTGAGGATTGAGCAGCCCTGTGGAGAGGCAGACCGGGTAAGGAACTAAGGCCACTCGCCAACAGCCAGTGCCAGTGTGCCAGGCATGTGAGTGAGCCACCTTGACAGCAGGTCCCCCAGCCCCAGGTAAGCCCAGCCAAGAGAGGAATGTCACCTCAGACCCGGAGCCAGAACCACCAGCCAAGTTGCTCCCAAATTCCTGAGCCACAGAAACCATGAGAGACGATAAATCGTTACTGCTGCTTTAAGTAGCTACCTTTTGGAGTGAGTTCTCGTACAGCATGGGTAACTAACACAGTTCCCTTTCTCAGTGTCTACAGCATCCTTCACTCTCCCCCCACCAGCTCCTATTGGTCCTTCAGATTGTCTCACTTCATGTGCCACTGCTTCCAGGAAGCTTTCCTGAATGCTCCCAACTGGGTAAGTGCCCTTACATTCTACTCTCTATCTGCCATTCCTAGAATAGGCCTTTCCCTCCTGCCCCGCCAACCCCCTCCCGTGCCATCTGAGCCTCTGTACTCATTGCTCTCCTTGGCTGGAACGTTGCCCCTGTTTGGTCCTCATTCTTTCAGACGCAGCTCAGGCATCCCCTCCTCCAGGGAGCCTCCTCCACCCCCGGCAGGCTAGGCATCTCTTATGGGCCCCCCTGGCACTCTGTAGTCTTTCCTCAGGTTACAGGATGGTTCCGTGATGCTGTCGTCCTCATGACTGTGAGCTCTGGAAGGCTGGGAGCCGCGTCTTGTCATCCCACTGGCTTCCACAGGACAGTGAATGAAGGGCGGGGTGTGCTGGGGAATTAGGACACTAAGGGGTTGAGATCTCTGCAGCAGAGCTACCCAAACCTGGTGGAGCATGGAACCAGCTGCTGAACCTTCGGAAGGTAGAGATTATAGTCTGGGAGGGAGACGTCTGCCTCCAAGGACAGACACCACGGCCGCTACCTAGAGTTCGGGGTCAGGTTGGCATCATGAAAGAAAGGACAGCTACAGGAGGAGGATAAAGCAGAAGCTGCAAACTCAGCACCAGAGGGCCCCATAGTTGCTGTTGTAGGGCAAATGGGCCAAGTGGGGACTATGCCAAACTGGAGAGGGAAACCCCTGCTGGCTCTCAGCTCAAAGACCACCTCCTCAAGATGATGTTCACGGACCCAGACTTGACCACATCTCCCTTAGAGGCTCTCTTAGCACTTAGCACTTCCCCCGTGAAGCTCTTACCATCATTGTAATTAGCTAATTTATTGTGTGGTTTGTTTATCAGAGTCAGCCTCCCTGACAGATGGAGAATTCCTCAAGAGCAGGACCGTGTCTGTGTTCCCAGCACCTCCCCATGCCTGGCACTTCGAGGATGCTCCGTTACTATTTGTTGAGAGAATGGATAATTGAATAAAGAATGCTACCACCTAAGCTGCAGAGCCGTTTGCTGGAAGAAGTGAGGTAATGGCGTGCGAGAATGAATGTGTCATACCTGCTGTAAATTAAGATCACTGAACGGAAGAATAAGCCAGGGAAGAACCAGCATGTCGATGGCGTCATCCACCGTGTGGGCACAGCTTAGGCGCCCTCCACGAGAGGAGTCGCCAAGGGATTTGCCTCTGCAGTTCCTGAGTCCTCGTGGATCTGACCTACACCGAGGCTGCTCCCTCCCCCTCTGCCCCCACAGGAGAGAGCAGAGGACCCCTTGCAGGTTGGCTGAAGCCAACCATGTGCCAGTTCATGTATTTAAACCTCACTTCACTTTGCTTCGCTTACAGGCCAGGAACTGGAAAGCCAGAGAGTTTGGGACACCTGTGCCAGGTGTCTGTCACCGTGCAGCGAGCGTGTCTGAGCACCTGGCAGCTTCCCTCCTTCCCCAGCCGGTCACTCACGGCCCACCTGCAGGACGGGTCCAGGAGCAGGCGGAGCCTCCTGGTGGCCCCACTTTTGCCTCCTCCCCTGCAGTAGATGCTTCGTTACCAGAAGGCGAAGGTCAGAGTCTGGCCACGGGCCCAGCATTTCTGGCCCAGTTTTGCCGCAGGAAGCCAACTGTGCAGAAGGTCAGGATGCTGGTGGGGTCAGAGTGGGAAAGTTAACATTCCCAAGGGCCTCTATGCAACAGGACTTCCTGACGTGGACTATTGCCTTTCTCACATTACGTGGCCAGATTGACTTCCTGCCATTATTAACTGTGCAAACATGACAAAGACGTTTATTTAATGGGAACGGGCGAAGGACTTTGCTCGACTCTGAGCTTTGAGGAGGCGGTAGGATCATGGAATTAACCACAGCTGAGAGCTGGGATTCCAGTCCGGGCTCTACCTGCCTTTGCCATCTGCTAGAACATGTAACTTCATGTCTCAACCTCAGTTTCCTTTTCTGTAACAAGTGGGGAAGAAGGGTGGTAAGAAATGTTGAGTCAGAACTCAGAGTTGCTGGGTGGGTGAAGTGAGGTCATTAATGTGGGAAACGTTTTGCGAACTGGAAAGTGCCATCTGAGTTTTCATCATCAGTTTTGATCTCCTCCTCCAACAATCTAGCATCTCAGCCCGCTTTTCCCAGCTGAGAAGGCCTCTGTGGCTCCAGGAGAAGGTGCCCTCTCCCCAGCTGAGGCTGGCTGCTGGCAGGCAGGCCACCAGCCTTCTGCAGTCACCTCCCGCCAGCTCTGGGCCAAAGGGGCCCTGCCCCTCGGGTTCCCTCTGCGATTTGCTTCTCTGCTGTTTCCGCTCAAGTTCCTCCTCTGCTCTCTGTCCGTGAAAACGCTCTCCCCCCTCACAATGCCTTCTCTGATCTGGTTTCTACATGGCCGAGCGGGACGTTCACTGCATCTTACAACCCACTGTTCTCCACGTGTGCTCGCGGGCCCAGCGGCAGCAGCAGCAGCCCCCTGGGAATGTGTGGGAAATGCACAGTCTTGGGTCCCACCCAGACCAATGAAGCAGAAATGATGAGGGTGGGGCCAGCAGTCTGTGTTTTCACAGGCCCTCAGGGATTCTGATGTACACTCAAGGTCCAGGACCAGTAGGCTAACCTGTCTCCCCAACTGGGTGTGAGCTCCCTGCTGGCCGGGGCTGCCTCCCACTGTGGCTCCCAGAGCCTGGCACGCAGAGACCACGAGTGACCATGAAACTGCCTCACAGACGTGCGCTGGCCTTCCTGCCGCCACACCTGGGCTCACAACATGCCCTCAGCCCCTTCCTTCCCGCGGCCCTCCCCACATGCTCACAAAACCTCAAGGCCAGCCGTCTCCCCTGAGTCCTGCAGCGGCCTGTTCTGCCTCAGTCTCCCTCCATAGCCGCTGCCTGAACCTGCCAGACACCACTCTGGGCTCACCGCCTGGTCACCCCTTGGTGGGGTTGCCCTTAAACAAAAGGTCCTTTCTGCACGCATCTTTCATGTGACATTTTGCACCGACTTGGTTTGTGTTTGAAGGAGCGCTGGTGCAGTAGGGGATCATCCTTGCAGCCACAGGGTGGAAGTCACCTGGCAGCTTCACCAGGGAAGTCAAGGTGTGTGTGTCAGTCGGCCTTTGCACCAACATTCATAGCAGAAGCAGTTCACACCACGTCCCCCCCTGACCTGAAGGAGAGAGAAAGGGAAGAGGCACTTGAGGTGCTCAGCGAGCTGCAAAGTTCCGTCCTCCAGCTGCTCCAAGCCCTGCGTGGGCCATGGGGTCTGCACGGTGGGCGGGCAGGCCATGCAGGTCTCTGCCTGACCCACACCGTGTCAGGGTTTGTTTTTACTTTCCCTGCTCTTGCTGCCACAGCCTATGTGTCCCCAGATTCTTCTTTTAGGCCCTGGATGGGAGCCAGCCTCCTGCAGCTAGGCTGCCCGGGTTCGAACGCTGGCTCTGCTGCCTAGGGTAAGTTACTTGACCATTCTGTGCCTCAGTTTCCTCATCTGTAAAGCAGGCCTGGGTGGTAACACTTAGGTCTTAAGTTTCTTGTGCAGACAAAATCAGAGAGGACTTGCAAAGCCTACAGAGTAGAGCTCCCACACAGGAGCCCTCCAAGCTCTTGGTCCTGAAGTGGATACCCCTGGCCCATGAGCCCAGTAAGGGAAGGCAAGAGCTGGTGAGTGGCAGGCTGGGTCAACCCGGGGCCTGGCTCCCTCCCCAGCCACCACCTGCCTCCAAATCCAGCATCATATATGACTCTAAATTAGTTTTGGGACCAGAATTTGTAATCTTTCTGGTTTCAAGCATGAGGACCCTTATTTAGTGCTAAGTAAAATATCTGCTTTTTGCTCTCTCAGCATCCATTGTCCAAGAGAAAATAACCTAGTAGCCTTTTAGAATTTGTATTCCACTGACTACAACAACATCTGTATACATCTGAAAACTATTCAGACAAGTATGTGTAAGACAAATCTCTTCAGCCTGCAGACAGTGTGCTCGGGGCCTTGATGGATTCTCTGGCAGACCCCCCCAGCAGGGTGCCTCCAGGCTGGGGACCAGTGTGGTCTTCAGGAAACAAAGGCTTAATGTAAACTGGGCTCTCCTCAGGCAGGAGTTCCCTCAACATTCCTTGCCAGGTGTGTAGTATGATAAGCCCATTTCACAGATAAGAGCACAGAGGCACCAAGAGCTGTATTAACTACCCAAGACGAAGCTAGTGATTAGTAGAGCATGAGTGAGGTCTGGGTGACCCCAAAGCCCAAGTTTTACCCCCTACCCTACCCTTCAACATGGCAGCTACTCTCTATTAATCTTATCTCCACAGCTGAGTCTGGGAACTCCTGAACAGCACAGAAGTATCAACTATCAGCCAGGAGCCAATATTCCCAGAGCAGACAGCATATCAGGTGCTGGTGCCTCTGTGACCTCGTTTAATCCAGCAGGAATCCAATCAATTTCCCTATACTACAGAGGAGCAAATCAATTCTCAGAGAGGCTGAGTAACCTGCCCAACGTCACCCAGTTAAGAAGTGGCAGGGCTGGGGCCAGAATCCAGGTCTGTCTGTCCCTGGGTCCCTGTTGGCCCCTTCGCAGCGTGTGAGCTTCCCAGGGCCTCAGGTAGGGAGGGGGTAGATAGCTACCTTGAGCCATAAAATTCCCCTCACAACACGATAGGTGTTAGCAAATTTTTAAAAATTCTTTGCCCCAGATCAGGTCCTACATTGGGATGAATCATCTGACTCCATATAAAGTAACCTCAGGATCGCTGGATTGATGGGGAGTGTGGGCAGAAGAGGGTTTTTTGTTGTTTTGATCTCAACTGAAAAGCAATTTTTAATGTGCCAAATGTTGCACACTCAATCCAATACACAGATTTATTACGCAGGAGGCCAAAGTGTGCTAATCAGGAGTCATCATCTTGCAACAAGAATAAATAAGAACAAAGCCAGCAAGCGTTCCTCCCGGGAGCTAAGAATGTCATTGTCTAATGTCTTGTCTTAGCCGCCTCAGCCCACAAACGGCTCCTCCTGTCTTTAGGGGACAACAATCGCTGCGGAATTCTGCTGAGCACAGACGGGCCGAGACACAGAGAGTGGGGTTTGTTGCTTGAAAGCATTTTGCTTTCTGTAACCACTGTTCCCAAGAAAGAGCTGGGACTGTCTTGCCTGCCCTGTCTCTCATTCCAGACACCTCTGGAGCAACTCAGATCCTGAAGCCTTGGCTTGAGGGCAAGTAGAGGCAGAACGTAGGGAAGAGAGCTCCGTGCCAGGCAGAAATCCCCCACCCTTCCTGTTTCCCGACTCTGAGCAAGCCACTCAACCACGCTCAGCCTCGGCTTCCTCTGCTGGAAAATGGGGAGAGGAAGGGTTCATTCAGGCGGCTGGGGGTCCAAGATTCCTAGCCTGGTGCCTGGTGCCTGGCACAGGGTAGTGCCTGTTATTAAGAAACTGCTGGGCTAAACCATGGCCAGGGAGAAAGCTTGGTGGAGGTAACCGGGCACCCTCAGATGGTAGCTCAGAAATTGTGTTCCTCACTGAGCAGCTTTGATCAAACCACTTCCCTTCTCAAAAGTGTTCGGTGGCTTCCTGCTCCCCTGAATGCAATATGGGTCCTTTAACCTGACCACCAAGACCCTCATTCCCCAAAATGCCTTTTCAGCCAACTTTTCTACACTCCAAAATGCCACTTAATAAATATTTAAAGAAAGAGTGAATACAATGCATCTAGCATTGTGTGTCTAAAAATCTCGGCCCTGGTCCCAAGAGGCGCATAAGCTAATTGGGAGCAAGGCCCAAGATACCAGAAGAAAAGGGAAATAGCCATTTATTTTACATTTTAATCAAGGGACCAACTCAGATCCCAAATCCTAGTCCTCATTCTGCCCCAGATGTCCTGAGGGCCTGCTCTGATGTGACATTCGGAGGATGCCACTTAGGTTAGGGAACAAGGGGGCGCTACAAGTCATGAACCATAACACCCAGGCCAGGAGGGCGCTGACAGTCTAAGGGGGAAGCTGCCACCCCAGGATACCGTAGGTGCTTCTGTTGTCTCACTCTGCACCCCACACTGTGCCACCAAGCAGGGAGAAGGTCAATATGATGCGTTTTGTAGTTTTCTATGGAGACAACAGCTGACTGCCAACCAGAATGATGACATAAGGAATCAGCCTTCACTGGTGAAAGGAAAGGTGTTCAAGACTTGCAGACAATGCAGCAAATTGGCTGCATTACTTAGAAACACTCCCCAGGCTGCATGAACACAGTGTAAGGGCCCAGTGAGGCCTGGAGGCCAGGCCTGCGGTGTTGCTGCCGAGGCTTGATCCACCCCCCGACCCCCTAGTCTTCCATGCAGTTGTCCACCTGTGGGGAGGACTTCAGTTGCCTGATTACAAGGACTTTGAGGACGACGGGATCCTGCCCAGGAGTACTGTGACCACTGCAGGAGCTCCTCAAAGGGCAGGGAGCCGAGACGCCCTGGTGATACGCAAGAGTTTGTGCAGACACGGGGGCACCTGGAGAATGGCAGCTTGGATTTACATGTCTCTCTGGGGCAGAATTTGCATGGAGACTTGCTTGCATCATAACCTGGTCGTGGGGTTGTGGGGAAGGAGTTAACCAGCCCTGACCCCAAACTTCTGCAGGGACTACTCTCATCCACCCAAACCCGGGAGCCGTGCGTGGCCGCATGGTCTTCGGTCAGTCCACTCCCTCAGGGCCCTCTGGTCACACTCCTCTGCAGGGCCTTTACTGTGGGCCGCTCTGTCCAGACCCCGCGCTTTCTCCATGGAAGTGGCAGATGTGGATACCTCCATGGTATTTGGACACAAGAAAGGCCGCATTCATTTATCCAACTGCAATTAAATCTGTTTCAAGACACCCTACTCACAAAACTGGGCAGAAATTGCAATATCATTCCAAGTCATCTGTTGGTCCCTCCCTGAGCCCTACTGGCATATTAGGGGGCTTTGGAGGTGCTCCCAGGAAGCCACAGTCAGTGGTGCTTTTTTCTGCATGGTGGGCAGTGGTGCCCACCCCGGGCAGCTGTGGCAGGCATGCCGGGGAGGTCAACCAGCCCAGCTTGCTGCCCAGCTCAGCACTGCCCCTCCTCCTATGGAGGGCGTCTCCTGCTGGTGGCCACACTTCTTCCGAGCAGTCAGCCAGAGGGACCTCAGGCTGGGGGGCCTCCATGCTTGTGCCCAGAAGTCCCAGGCCCCAGGCAGCCATCTCCACAAGTAGGGCCACCTGAGTGTTTCTGCATT